CATGAAATGCGTTCCTCAATTGCAGCGTTTTAAAATATCCACTGAGAAAAGTAATATTACGCGTGTACTAGTGACTGTACCACCGGAGACTTAAACGCACGGTTAGGAAAGTAAGCGACCAAATAAATCTGTGTATATGTGACCCTGAGTAATCTTACCCACGAACTCGTAACACTATCCGATTGCGCTTGGTTTTTTCTTGATGTGCGACTTAAAAATCGATTTTCTATGTATCTGTCTCTAGAATTCTAGCATACTAGTGGCAGTGCGTTCAAATGGCGCACCGTCTCAACAAAAAAATGGTAGAGGGAGGCCTAACATGTTTCGAATGGATTAAACTGTAATACTTTCATTTATTGCTTCTGATGTCAAAGCACGGAGGACGATGATCGTTTTTCTATAATTTTTTAGCAGAAGTGCAATTTTCTCAAAATTGATAGGTATTTGAAATTTTAGTGGATAAGTTAGTTCATCTCAGCGGTCCTCATCTCCTTCGGGGAACTTGAAAACGCGCCTACATAGAAAACAGCCGAGTGCTTCTCTAGTAAGAACGCAATAACGCATTAGAACTTTCCCGCTTTTTTTGAGTATGTGAAGGAAATTCAAAAAACTTGAAGGTGAATCGTCAGTTTTTTGGAAAGCGATTCAACAGTCCATCGATCAATTGATAAAATCTGGATTTTAAGACATTTATTAAAAATGTCCAAGTATCACATCATCCTGTAATATATCAGGCATTCGCACACAAAATTTGGCCAAGACACACTTCAAAACACTCCGAAAGAAGGTCTCGAATAAATACAGTGAATGATTTTGTCTCCCGATTTACGAGTTTCACATAAGACGTACTTTTAAAGCTATCTCAAAATTAAAATAAGGATAAAACAAACCGAAACACGCATTTTTCAACCTGTCAAATTAACAGACTGTTGTAATTCACCGCAAGTACATCCAATACATACAATAGTATGCTAATTTGAAAAGTTAAAAAATACGTGGTTCGCAGGTTACAATATCACACAAAATGCGCTTCACATATTATTTCAAAATTGTTCCTCCATAAATTTTGGGTACAAATATCTGACGTGGTACAGCGTGATGTGTTGCTCGTAAATTCTTGGAAATGTCTTGAAAATCCAAAAAATTATCAATCGATCTTCCGACCATCGAATCGTACTCGCTGTTAAAAAGTATGCCTGCAATGTACAAAATGACAATAAAGCATCGTGCGTGGGTGGAATTTTCTAGGTATATAAAAATGTATGAAAAATCAAAAATGATTTGCAGTCTTCAAATTTCAAACATTCCTCTTTATATTGAAAATTGAGAAAATAAAACGAAATGGATTTAGTTTAGAACAATCAAACTGTTTTCATATCTCTCCATTTTGTTGTGTATCTTTTATAAAAATTTTGAGCAAAAAGAGCAAAAAAGATTCGTCTCTTTTTGATAATAATAATTGCTGCTTCTCGAAGAAGAAGCTCTTTTTCAGATTTGAAGAAAGGAACGGTCCTAATTTCAATAAAGCTATTTACTTTTCACCCTCAATTACGTGACGACGCATAAATTCCCAAAAAACCTCAACCCGCCAATTTAATATCAATTACGGCTGAGTTACTGTTCTTTAATCGATAATAAAGATAGGGATCTGATCTTAAATATATACACTCGTATAAACGTTCCAATTTGCGTCTGCGTGTTGAGGACCTGAGTTTTTGCCTTCTTTTACACTCACAGTCAAAAATTTGAGGACGCACTGATCATCGTTTGAGATGCTGTTACAGACGATGATAAGAATTTCCAAAGAAAATATTATTTAAAGTGCATTCTTGAGACTCTTGTCTTCATGGGCATCTCACAGTAACATAGGTCACAATGTGCAAAATGTAGTCGAAATGTACTTCAACTCGTCGTCATCGCGCTGTTTGAAATTTTAAGATTTGAGTGCGAACTAACGCTAATTTCTACAACATTATTCTATTTTCCCTTTTTTGCTTCCGTTTCTACTTCCTCGTCCTCTTCTTTTTCTCATTCTTCCTACATTAATTCATTCGATTTCTAATTTGGACATAATTTTGCAATTTGGAACGACAATTTCTAGCTCAGTTTAGAAGCACATACGTGCCATTAGTTCCCCAATGCACATAAGTGTTTTTACAGATGAGCCAGCAATTTTAGTTCAAAATTGCAAAATAGTGTTCATTTGCATGTCTGATTTGCTTTCCGTTCATTACGTCTGCTCATAAGCGTCATACCTCTCCTCGATCAGTCAGTGACTAAAAGAAGTTGACTTGTATGGAAATAAGTGCCAATCAAAAAGTTCGTTGCTGTTTTTTTTTTTGCAACCGTGGAGTGTTCTGCCATGCCAAGGAAGAACGCCGTATGAACATTCGAGAGTTGCCAAATTTCCCTCTACAAAATGTTTATTTATGAGGAAAGATATGATTATTCCTCCTTGAAATTTTCATGGGCTTTAGGTGAAATTGTGAACAAAATTATCTAAAAAATTGGAAGGAAAATATTATTCATAAGTTTACCAGGAAATTCGTGTTTTATCAAAGGAAATTTGGCAACGCCTGAAGGTTCATACGGCGTTTTTCCTTAGCACGGCAGTGTTGCTGAACGGTGATTTTGAAGATTGAGGGGAGGACGGACGCCACGCCACCGCGCCTAATTCTATCTCCCTCTAAATCATTAATATTTTTCGCACGCCATTGACTCCAAATTGTTATACTTGAGTAACCTACGCGTGTTATTAATAAATCACTATCATCAATCTCAATGCTTTGCCCTCCAGGTCGGGGTTTCCAATTGGCAGCGCTTTCATTCGGACGCGGTAATTTTATTCGAAATTAAGGAAGGGCACTAATTTTTACGGACCCCGATCAGCAATCCGCAAAAATTAAGTGGGCTTGTAACTTGGCTTTCAAGCAACCCACTCCATTTTAATCATTAATAAAGATTCAATGTTCACTATTTCTGGCAATGAATCTCTTCACTGAAAAAAAAGCAAAAAAATACTCCGGCCGTACGGGCTATATAGACATACCGTCCACGCTCCGGGCTCAGGAGCTGAAAGTTCCGGGCGTAACACCCGGAGCAATTGAAAACACGGATCCAGCACCCAAAAGTTTCAGCCTCGGAACCGCGCGGAACGGACGGTATGTATACATAGCCCGTAACTTTTTTCTCAGTGTTGACAATCGAGATTTTTCGGCGTGAAATATGTTGAAATGCAGGTCAAATATCGATTTGAGTTTTTTTTTATGGAGAGACTCGATTTCAAACTTTTGCAGTAAAATGAAGGGCGCATAAGTGCAGTTTTTAACAAAATTGAGGTATTAATGATTTCAAGTAAAAGTAGTCTTAATGCATATTCTGTGAAAAATTCGCTCCTAAATTCCGAAATAAGCATAAGAAATTCAGTTTGAGCTCTCTCTCCACCATACGGATCCTATGTAATCGACTCTTCAAACACGTATTTCTCAAAATAGCAAAATTTTAGAAAAGTTAAAATATTTACCATGTCGCGTAAAATTGGTTTCGATATGTATTAAGTAAAACTCAACAATTCAGCTCCTTTTTTACCTTAAAATTCGAGCTTTATGTTCGTTTGAGTCGCAAAATGTCTATGTAATTTTCATCATTTAACTCGTTGTGCTGGAAAGCGCCAGCATGTCACTTAACTCTTTTAACCGCAAAACCATCTGTTTACGCAACGCTTTCACGGGTCGAAAAGATAAATAAGTAAAGTATTTTGTCTCTGAATCTGAGAAAGGCGGAATTTAACATTTTTCCGTGTTTTATAAGTCATCGTTGCAGTCATAAGGCTGTCACACACACACTTTGGGAGATTTTTGCCCAAACCAGTAGTATTCACCCGCAAAAAAAGTTCAGTAATGTTTAAAAAAAAGGGGCACTGGTATATATTTAAAAGAAAAAAAGACTATACCGGAAAATGGCCGAGAAGTTGAGAGAGAATGCACGAGGAAAATAGAGATTTAGAAATAGTGGCAAAGAAACGAGTGCATTTTAATTTCAAGGATGAAGAGAGAAAAGAACAGCAACTCACCAAGCTGCGATCCGAGCAAGATTCAGGGGGCGTGGCGGAAGAAAAAGTGCGAATCTGATTAGTGATAAGTCATTCGCGAATCTCCGCCTCTCTTGAAATATTGAAAACCGCTAATGCATTATTAGATTCAGATTCTGTCACGCTCGCTATTTGAGTGCTCGCATTTGATATTCAAGTAAAAATCAGATTTAGTTTTAAAATCACGGACTATCAACGTTGCTTGAAGTTACTCTCTCTCTCTCATGTGTTCTCTTCCGGATCGCGAACACAATTTTGTCAATTATTACCTGAAAATAGTAAAATAATTGGTAACGACCATGAGAATTTTTGTCAGGATTTTCAAATGAATCGTACGATATACCTATGCATAAAAAAATGAAATTTTTTCAAAAGGTTTCCTATTTTTAATTATTGTGCAAGTTTGGAACGAGTAAAGAAATCGTTCAGTATTATTCCCCGTTTTAATTGGAACATTAATTTGTTTCTTTTTGCATTGAATATTTTTGGCTAAAAATTGTAAGATTCATTCTTTAGCTTTTGTTTAATTTTTTTCGCAATTTTTCCATGGAAGGGAGGGGTGTGTATCAAAAATCAAAGTCAACTGAACTTCGTATAGCAAGCAGCATTATATCAATAACCAAATCCAATTCAAAAAAGAAAAACCAGCGTTTATCCCTTGTTGGCTAGTATCCACAACTAAATTTCTGGATCATAAAATGACAATCCGCTTTTTCCGAGCAAAATGAGGACACTTTTCAATACTATGAATTTATCGTAGAAAGAGGGAGTAAACGAGTATAGGTACCTACTGTAGTTCATCTCATGGAATAATTTTTTTTTAAATCCCAGATAATGGATTCCATTCAGTGTGTAGTATAAGAGGAAAAATATTCTTTTTTAAATAGAAACAATGTTTTATGTGTTACAGGTGGAGATACGCAGAACCGTCATTATGAAGTTCCGATTAACTGATCTCAAGTAAGAATCTTAAACGTTCGTCATCACTTGATATATTTAGATCTAAACACGATGAAATTTCTTTTACAACGATTATTTGAGCTACGTTTTGTAATTCGGAGTTACAATTTCTGGCTCATCGGTAAAAACAATTACGTGCATAGAGAAAATGGAATTGTAAAGTATTAGAAAATTATTAACATCGAAAACAGACGATTGATACTTTTGACCCCAAAACAGTTTCAAGTCTCCAACTTTCCACATTAAGCACATTTGGACCAAGTTAAACAGGAGTTACCCAACTTGCTTTAAAATCGAATTGAGCTAAAGGTTTCAGGATTCATTCTTTCATTACAGCAAATGTCAACGTTTAGTTCATCGCCTTTTCTCACATCCAAAATATTTTTCTTCGACTTTGAATTTTCGAAAGGGGGAAGTTTTCAACCAGTTAAGCTCAAAATTACTCCTGATTATTTGCTCTCCAAAATGAGACCAGATTCTTTTCTGTTACTCTGTCCATTTTGCCTATGACTTCATCATAAATGTAGTCCGATGGGACAGCGTTTATTCTTCCAGTCTCCATACATGATAATTGGACGTATTTATGCTAAAAGGAACTATGTTGCACGCAAAACCTATGCACGTGGTTCCTTTTAGCACAAATACGTCCAATTTTCTGTTGACAAGAAGAGAAGTCGAACGATTTTCACGGGTGTCAGAGCATTTGATGATAGTTTGTATACGGAGGGAGGGGTAAGGCTGAGAACCGCGCTAAAGATAAACGCCGTATGAACGTTTGCACGTTGCCAAATTTTATCTGGTAGGTAAAATAATGATTACCTACCAAACTTACAAATTTTTACTCACGATTTAAGCTTAAGTTGCTGAGAATTCCAGGAAAAAATATTCGTCACTTTTCTTCAGTTCGAATATTTTATCGGAGGAAATTTGGCACGGTCCAAATGTTCATACGACGTTTTTACCTAGGACAGGAGAGGTGGACAAAACACGTACGTCACGAGGGCAGAGTGTTCCATGGTGCACGGCTCGCACTCGGCCACGCTCGCCAAGAATGGCGAGACCAATAAAAATGCCACCCATCAACAAATAACAAATGCCCGGCATGAGTGATCTGCTTGCTCGGTGCCGCACGCCACGCCGCGGTTCCTGACAATCCGGCTGATGTCTAAATTAAAGTTTTAGATTTTTAAAGCCCGCTCTGAGTGCGTATCAGTTTACTCGTCCGAAGCTCCAACGCCTCTCCACTCTGTCTCTCTTCATCTCCTTGCTCGTCCTGCCAGCCTCAACTCAGGTTCCCACATAACTCTCGCACAGGTGAGAGATAGTGACGTCAAAAGAGGACTCCTCTGGACTAGCGGGCTGATTATTGAAAATGACAGATAAAGACATAGACGAAGCGACAAACGGAAAAAAGAGAGCGGATCGGTCGAAACGGGTGGTTGTCAAAGACTAAAGAGCCGTTTAAGTATCACGTTACAAATCCGGGCCGGGAGAAAAAAAAGAAACTTTGAAAAATAAGTGCAAAAAATTGAAAATTTCGCCCCTCCCAAATGAATCTTTTCGACGCGTGACCCAATTTTTTTAAAATTAGGGGGAGGGGGTCAAAAATTGGAAAAATTGCGTTACATGTTACTTGAATGGCCCTACGATGGAAAATGATGCATGGACTAACACTTCCTATTAACACTGGTGAAAATATCCAGAGACTTTAACGCGCGGAAAGAAAAGTAGAGATAAGACAAATCTCGCCTGTTTTAAAGAAAAGGGGGAAACGGAAAATGAGGAGGGAATGGAGGCAAGAGAGGGGTATCTATGAAGATGAAGGAGAAAGAAATAGGAGGAAGAAGAATTGATAGAAATTTCCAGCTCTATGATACTTCCTATTCTAGAGTATTCATTTATATAAGTTTCCGTTAATACTTGGATGTTTGAAGAGAGTGCACAGTAAGAAAAGGTGTAATTTTTATGTAATTTTTTTTTCAAATTATGTTTCTTTAATGCTCTACTTGCACACAAACTTGTATATTGTAAAATTTACTAGGTATTGAAAGTCAATGCTCAGATTCGTCTAATGATAAATCATGGCTAAAGAGTTCAGCAATAGGTTCAGTAATCCCAACCTAATTTGTAAAAACTTGCTTTACTTAGCAGAATGCTCATCTCGACATTCATTATTCATCATTATGCAGGTTTTTTTGGGTTTTTGTTCAGCGAGTTGCCGACCAAATATCATTAGGCGGAAAACAACGTTGGTCTCCGAATTTAACTTTGCCACACTCGAAAGCATTGTTTAAATTGTTGGTGCTGGGTTTCTAAAATATATTGTCTCTGACCTGGAAATTGTTGAGTAAAAACCGTCTGTCTGCGACAGGATTTCTCGGAAGACTCTCATCTATACGGTTAAAAACAATTATATTGTCATTGTGAAGATAAGTTGAGTTAATTGACTCGAGGATTGAGAGAACCAGACTCCAACTCCCCAGGAATTAAAGTAATTTAGAGAATTTAGAGTCAATTTAGGGTAAATTCTGTGTCCAATTAGGTCATTCAAGCAACTTAATTTTGGGATTAGGTTAAATACAAATTTCACCTCTCTACTTATAACACTCTCCAGACATGTAAGTATTAGCAGAAAATAATATGTATTCATGTATTTTCTAGAAGAGCACCGGTTATAAAACCGGTGGAAATTTCTGTCAATTTTTCTCCCTTCCATTTCTCTTGCCTTCGCTCCCTCCTCTCCTCTCTCCTGATTTTCATTTCTCCCCCTTCTTTTTTCCCTATTCTTTTTTCTTTTTTGCTTTTTTCCCGTGTTTTATCTCTACCGTTCTTTCCGTGCGTTAAAGTCTCTGGCTATTTTCGTCCGAGGTAGTAGGGCGGTACAAGTAATATTTCCACCAATGAATCAATCGATAGATCTTGCGTAACTTAAAGGGAACTGTTTATACAACCATGAACGCTTTACTCATCGTCAGCAAGTTGAACTGATGTTGCAGTGCCTTTTTTTTATTGGTGGAAAAACAAAATAATTATTCAGATCATTTCATTTAAAGCGTTATTTTGGACCCTTCAATTTGAGTCAATGCATTAAAACGCATTTGAAATGGCAATTACGTATATGGTATGCAATGACTATGACATGCTAATGGATGGCACCAGACAAATACCGAGTCCGAGCTCCTTTTCCTCCCCATTCCAGTAGCGTGGCGTGCTTTGCAATATATCGATTAGTATGTCATTTAAGCCTATGGAAAAGGATCGATAAACAGGGTGTTCGCAGCGGACACCTTAATAATCGATTCTTTACCATAGATTTAAATGACAGACGATACATCGCAATTCACGCCACGCCACTGCCCCATTCCCTACTTCTTATTCCTCTCCATTTTTTCAGTTCAACTCTCATTGACAGTGCGCTTAATTTTGACAGTAAATCGACTAGCCATTATGGCCCCTTAAGTTATAAAAATACGATTTGCAATAATTATATCTTAATCATAAACAGCGTTAAGGTGATTCGATGGCCGCCATATTTTGTGTCAGAACGACGTGCGATATATCGCATCGAATAGTTCCAGCATGTTCCGTGTTTTCAGCTACTACAGTTATTTTTATCGAATTTTGAGGTTGCATTTCTTTTGTCACGAGATTAAAGAATCGCTTACAAAATTTGACAAACAAATTCAACTAAATACAGGCAGAGGGTTTTTTTTAGAGGAAAGAAAAATAGCATCGATACTAATATCGAAAGTGCACTCGAATGAGACATTTTTCCTCTAAAAAAACCCCTGCCTTTACTACGTTGCACTTGTTTATCAAAAAGGAAGGTGAGTTCTTTAGTCTCGTGACATTAGAAATGCGATCTCAAAAGCCGAAAAAAAATGACAAATATAGCTGAGAACATTGAACTAATCGATGTGATACATCGCATATCGTTCGGACACAAAATATGGCGGTCATAGAATCACCTTAAAGCAAAAGCTTTTTTATGAAATTTCGGTCAATGAATTCGTCGCCTACCTGACATAAGGACGTAACTACACTCTGCAATGAGCCGTGTTCTTCATACAATTCAATGCTTTTCCGGGCTCATCTTAATGTGTAGTTACGCCCTTATGTCAGGCAAGCGACGAATTTTTGGTGGCTCAGATGCAGGTACCTTGATACAACTATACGTGATCTGGAGATGTGCGTGTTGCTTACAGAAAAAAGAAGGCGCCTCGGTTTTCGCTCTTGCCCTTTCGATGAGCACATTATTAGGCAGAAAATAGCGTTTATCTGGTTACATTCTTTAATTAAAACATGTTATCTTTATTTTCACGGCCCGATTTTTTTCTAAGTTTGGGTGTTGCGTTGTGAGCTCGCGGGTAGCCGCAAGTGACAATATTGAACCCAGAGTCTCAATGCGACGCGATCATGTTGCGACACCAAGTGCGATAATTCGTCACCCTCTTTTCATAAGGGTCTAACGACACTTTCCGATGGACCATATCGTCCCTATGACTCGATGCTTTCACGGGCTAATTGCGAAGTGTAGTTACGCCTTTTGTTGGCCCGGCAACAAATTCAACGGACGCGGTGTCGTCGCGTGAACACCGGCCGAATTAACTAATCTTGCGGCGGAGACAAAACGGATTCATTACAAAATTGTTAGGGCCCTAAACTGGGCAGGCACTGGTGTAATCCGTCGCACTTAAGAAGAGCGACTTAAGAAAATTCGAATGTTGCCTAATTTCTTCCGATAAAATATTTAAAATTTAGAAAACTCATCAATGTTTTATCTCACTGGAAAAAAACACATTGGATCTAGAGTCCAGACTCTTGAAAACATTGACAAGAAAAAATACTCTTGATTCAATCAGATTTTTGCATAAATCAAAAGGAAATCCGCTCAAATTAAGAGACTGGGTTCTTGATTTAAGCTAAAATCCGATTGAATCAAGAGTATTTTTTCTTGTCGATGTTTTTAAGAGTCCGAACTCTAGATCCAGTGTGTTTTT